CAAAAAAAAGGAAGAGAGACAGACAGAGAGAGAGACAGAGAGAGAGAGAGAATGAAAAGGGGGGGGGGAGAGAATGGGAGAGAAATGAGTGTGCCTCTCTTAGATCGCCAGGTGGATGAATTTAAAATTATAATACTTTTAGAACAAAAATCTTCTTTTCGTGGGTTTGAGACAGTCTTTTTCTTAACAACTGAAGCCTAACTTAACTTTGCAGAATAAAAATTGCCTAAATTATTTGTGATTGGTGCGTCTTTACAATTTGAAAGAGTTGGTAGAAACCTTGTAGCGACTCTGTACAGTTAAATGTACACCCCTATTCAACGTAACTCAGTGCACAATTTGGAGATGATGAAAAATCGTACAATTTATTTTAAAACTTTTTCGCACTCATCAAAAAGGGATGGCTATAACGTAAAACTTAACAAGACTGGTCATTTAAAAAAAAGATGCATAATATTACATGTAACTACATGCTTCGTTGCAGGCCTATAAAACAATATATTGTTTAGGTGCTCGCAGAAGACGTGAGTTCGATTCCTGTGAGGAAAGGATTATTTTCCTTTAAATTTTTTGAGTATCTCCGTCCCTCTGCTAGGACGTTGTATCCCTAACGTCAAAAAAAATCTAAATTGTGTCAATGGGGGATGCGTGTAAACAAAAGACAAATTACATTACAATTTATATTACACATGTAGTACGTCAAAATATGGCTTGCAATTCCTAAACACTACTCTGTATTCTTAACATGTGACTTTATACACACAGGACGCCTATGTCTTCGCAATAATTCAGGAGTCTCCTGGATGAGTCTTGTAAGTTAAAAAGGGAAGGTAATCGTTGACAAAGCCCTGAAGGGAAGCTCCACCAAAAACATTTCAAGCCACCCTTGTGCCTTTGCCACAGCCACAGAGATCGGCACTCAGAGTGACTATTGAAAACACTATTTTCTTCATGTGGCCTTAATCACTGTTGAGATACTTTCTGCTTCTTTCTCAGGGACAAACAAGAGGTAGGAGGAATAAAATAGATTGCATTCCTTAAAACAGTAACTGAAATGTAGCCCTTCACCATGCTAATGAATTCGACGATGTTGATAGGCTGTGGTGCACCACATGGCCATTGTAAGCATGAACTCGATTGGCTGATCCTCCTGAAGTGCCATCACTCGGAGTCCAGTTAAGAACATCATTCCGAGGGACCACAGCTGAAATGAATAAATACAGAAAAAATAGAATTACTTGAAAGTGTGATTTTTAAAAAATGGAAATTTATGTTACCATGGTGTTATTACTTTACTCAATAATATTTTGAAAAAATCGTTTTCTAATTACTAAGACCACTTCTATTATCTTTTAATTTTTTTACCTTTCTAATAATATTCTTACAACAGGATTTTTTAAACGTAGAATGCGTGTGTTCTTTAGATTTATTCGTGTTTGGTTCATATTTCCAGTGTCCGTTGATATTGCTATTGCAGCTGTGTTGTTGGTTTTGTCTGTCTTTGTCATTGTTGCTACTGTTAATGTGTTAATTCTTTTTTCAAGAACTCGTCAATTTATGAGTTTTGATGTTTTCTGTGATAACTATCCTATCCACATTGATTACATTTTCTCTTCAGTCTTTGAATATGTTAACACTGGTTTTAATAGTATTGCAGAAATAAGAAAGAAACGAATCGAAAATGAAACAATAATCATTAGGAGCCAAACAGCAACAGGCCACGAATTAATCCAACAGCATTGTTTAGTCATTACATAATTTACCAGGTCCTGGAGCCGGCAAGGCACGGACTTCAGGTGTTGGATAACCAATGGGAAGCAAGCCCGATCGCGTGCTTTTTCCGCCCGGCTGCTGAGTCACAGGTAGGGCTGTTGTCACGTGGTCCAGAGGCAATGTCCCTATCCTGATCTCATCCACGAAATGTATGGAGTCCGTGAAAGAGGCGTCAGAGTACATCTCTACCTACCAAAAATAACGAGAAAGAATAATTGGCTCAGGCGATGACGAAGCACTTTTGGTAAGAGATGAGTATAAACACAACCATGGTGGTGAACTGAATTCGGAAAGTAAAGACAGAAAGTCCCATAGGCGTACAGACAAACATACGACATAGGTAGACAGTAAAAAACTGTGACCTGCACGTGGGACCCCTTGGTGACATAAAGAAGGTTACAGAGGGCATTGCCGTGCTTATTATGTCCAAAATCCACAGTAATTTCCATTATTTAATTAATTTGTTTAAAGTATCAACTAGGCTTCGCATTTTAGTTGGGCGTTAGATAATAGCACTTGTCGTTGTGGCGAGACTGTGGGCATACTAGACAAATAAAATGAAGAGGTTTGAGTTCAAGAAGCCACAGACAATTACTCGTTCGTCAAACAAAATCTGAAAAAAAACAACTGTGCTTGTCCCGTTATACTGTGCATTCCACTTTAAAAAAAATACTTTTGGGTAAAAATAAACTGTAACCATTCTTTCGGAACTTACTTGACCTAGCATGTACCGATTGGACTCCATTCTCCGCGGGGCTACATTTTAGGTCATTGTGGCATCATGAGCGAAAAAAAGTAATTTAGAAGTATTCTAAGGGCGAGCGTTCGAAATTGTCTTTTACTGCACGCGTTCCTTATTCTGTATACTTTAGTTCTCACCAAGTAAACTGTAAATCTTTAACATTGAAAAGGAAAATGACATCAGAAGAAACAAAGCAATGTCGTTTACCTCCAACCAATATCGCACGTCTATAACGCGACTGCCTCCAAGTCCAGTCGGGGGCAATGGCGGCACTGGAATTTCGGGGTTCCATTTGAGGCTCTCTGCAGACTCTAGCGTTTTCTCACCTTCGTGGAGTTTCTTATCCACCTTCACCTGCTTGCCCTTCGCGTGGTATGTGGTGGTCTGGAGACAGAGTTCATTTCATGAGTATAGAACAAGTATAGGCTGTGGTAAAAATAGAAGGGGAAAGGGGAGGGGGGTGGGGTAGAGACAGTGTATATCTTGCGTATGTGCATGTGTGTTGACTGGATTTCTAACTTACAATACCAAACCAGTAAGGCCCGTGTTAGAAAACAAGTGAGTTTGTTACTGAAAATGTATAAATTACTCTTGATCTAATTGTTATTTCAGCATGTTGATAATAATAATTATATATATAATTTTTATACA